TCACCAGATTTAAACTACTAGTTGGGATAGGAACCACATGTGATTTGTTTTTTTTTTTTCTTTTTCCTCTCTCCTGTTGTTTACCCAATCCAGAGCCATACACTTAGGAGGCGTGTTTTTAAAGTTGGTTGAAATGATCTGGTGGCTTGCTTTAAATACATCTCTAGCAATGTTACATTTATGAACATATTCTCTTCCCAAAAACAGTTTCACATCAACTCGGTTTCTCAAATGTTAGTAATTATCAAACATTCTAAATTGCTATCTAGCCATATTGCAATTAGAGCAAAATATGATGCACAGTTATGCTAACTAGTGAGTGATTTAAGTTACAGTTCTCTCTATATTTGTGAATGTTTTATCAACATTCAGACTGAGTACTTAAGTTATTTAAATGTCTCTATGTGTGTATACACAAATGTTAATAATAACTACTCTTTGCTGAGATCTTACATCTTGTAAACCCATAGTGCTGAGCTCCTATGCTATTCTAAGTGCTTTATATATAAAATATAAGTTAATCTTCACACAATCCTGTAATATAAGTATTTTTATTCAAGGTTTATGAAAGGAAAAATGGACTCTTGCAAAGATTGTGTAACTCCCTAAGGCTATCCAAGAGGTGAGTGGTAGCGCCAGGATTTGAACTCAGGCTAAGTTCAAGGCCTATACCCTTGCATACTTTCTGTGTAAGATTTTTCTTCCCTGAAATCTGGGCTAAGACCATTCCTCCTTCTGTGATGTATCCTCGGGGCAATGGAAAGCAAACATATCCTCTGAGTTGATCTGATTTCTCAAGCTGGGGAGGCCTCCCTGAGAACAGAAGTTTAGGGAAAATTTCAGGTCACCTAACAGTCACGGCAGGCTAGGTTGTGCTATAGTGAAAACAACCTCAAAATCCCAGTGGCTTACCACAACAAACAGTTTATTTCTAGCTCGCATTATGTCTGTTGCAGGCTCAGCTCCACATCCAGAACCCAAGCTGGTGGCAACATTGATCTGAAACATTGCCTATCTTCAGACAGAAGTAAAAGGGGGAGAGTGAAAAACCACAGTGATCTGATGGGCCAAAGTCACACGGCCAAGCCTGATATCATGGGGTGGGAATTAAAATACTTGCCCAGAAAGGAGCATCTACTACTCCAAACAATATTACAGTCTATCATGGAATTCTTTTTCACTGTGAAAGAAACAGATTATTTCAGTCTGGCAAGTACATTTTTGTTCTTTAATCCATAAATCCATAGCACTGCGCTACTTTTGCCAGAACACTATGGCAATTACTTGTTTTTAATTTTAAAAGATAAGATTTCATCTAAGAACTTAGAACTCAGAGAATACATATTTTAAGATGCATAAACAGAGGTCTTTTAATAAACAAACCACATGAATATAACAAAACTAATTGTTCAAAATTCAAATGTAGACTCTTCTATATATGCATGTTATATCTCCTGAATAATAATCATCAATTCAAAAATTAGAAATATTTTCATCACTAAATTTTGGCTTTCTATATTCTCTACAACTGTGTAATTCAGCATTCAGAGTATCTTTTTATTTCTCACAGTTCTGGTAGCTAGAAGTCTGAGATCAGGGTGCCAGTAGAGTCAGTGCCTAGTGAAGGCCTGCTTTATGGCTCTTAAACAGCCCTTTTCCATGTAACCTCATATAGCAGAAGGGACTCATTAGAGCTCTCTGGAGTCTCTTATATAAGGGCACTAATCTCATTTATGAGGGATCCATCCTCATGACCTAATCACCTCCCAAAGGCCCCACCTCCTAATACCATTACATTGGGCCTTAGGTTTCAACATGAGAATTTGGGGTATAAAAATACTTAGTCTATTGCAGTAGATAAAATTAACATTTAAGTGGATACACTGAATAAAGCAGATTATTCAGGCTCCCATCTGTTTGCCTCCCAGCTGGGACATGGGTCTTCTCCTGGTTTAGGACTTGGACTCAGAATAAAACTGTACCATTGGCTCTCCTGAGTCTCTAGCTTGCCAAGTGCAGATCTTGAGACTGCTCAGCCTTTATAATTGGCATGAGCCAAACGTTATAATATGTATATAAAATATTCCTTGTAATTAATATACATTCCTTATAGTTCATGTATATTTATATATGGATGTGTATGTGTATAAATACAAATTGGCTCTGTTTCTTTAGAGGACCCTGACTTGCACAAACAGATGAGAAAATCTTCTTGCTATACAGTTGGGAAAACTGTGGTTTAAATCAGGGACCTCAACCCCAGAGCCTTGGACCCTGTTAGGAACCAGGAGTGAGGGCAGCTGGCCTGAGCTCCACCTCCTATCTCCGCCCTTCCCAGCCCCCCATCCAGTCCACAGTAGGAAGTGAGCTGCAGTGAGCAAGTAAATGACCCCACCCCACCCTGCCATCTGTAGAAAAACCAGTTCCTAGTGCCAGAAAGGATGGGAACCAATTGTTTAAAGAAATGATCCTTTTCTTGAGTCATACAAGAAGCAAGGTTTCTGGATTCCAGCCTCTGGATTTACAGCTTGGACCCAACCAGCAGCTGGGCAACTTTGTTGTGCCACCTAAATTTGGCCAGCATCCCCTGTGACTCTAAGCCCAGCGTGGCACAGACCGGTGTGGGCTTTGTTGCCTGTGGTTGCCTCCATGAACCTGGCTCCGGGGAATCAATCAGAGGCCTGCCTTGCCCACACCAAGCGCAGGGGAGGGGCCTCTTCCTTCCAATTAGGTTGTGGCAGGCGTGAGGCATCAAGCTTGCAGATGGTTTGGCTCCTAGCAGGGGATTTTCAAGGACAAGGTCAGAGATTAGTCCAGTTGGCTCTCTCTGTGCCAGCCAAAATATTCTCAACTATAATTAAAACAAAAATGAAAAGAGCCAAACAAAATGTGCAGAGGCCAAAATTTCCATTCTTTAAACCTGATAATTTGTTTTAAGACCAAGGAATCAAACAAGGTCAAGAAAATAATTTTGTTCAATTGAAGTGACCCCATAAACTTTCTTCTTAGTGAAGGGTGTCTAATCTAGGCAGAAGCACAGGGTAGATTTCCTGGCCACCCTCTCTACACAGGTCCTGTGTGACGCTGGCCTGCAGGTACACAGGCTTAGATGACACACAGATGGCCAACAGGTCCATGAAAATGTGCTCAACACCACTAATCCTCAGAAAAATGCAAATCAAACCATTATAGTTAGTCATGTCTTTCAAATGTGAAGAATTTAAGTGTCAATATAAACATTCTCGTTCACTTCTATTTGTTTCTGAAATGATTGTATATTCATATATTAGCAAATGTATGTGGATTGATTTATTTGCATAAATTTATCTTTAAATTTACACCTTTCTGCACTTGGAAATATATATTTTATATATACATATGTATGATGAACTATCTCTTCATTTCTGTTAGGGTGGCTTTAATCAAAGACAAGAGAGAACAAGTATTGGTGAAGATGTGGAAAAAAGAGAATGTTGTGCACTGTTTCTGGGATTGGAAATTGGTAGAGCCACTATAAAAACCAGTATAAAGTTTGCTCAAATGATTAAAAATGTAGCTATCTTATGATCCAGCAATCCAACCTGTGTATTTATCCAAAGGAAATGAAATCAGTATCTCAACAAGATATTGCACCCTGATGTTCATTGCAGCATTGCTATTCACAATAGTCAAGACATGGAAGCAACCTAAGTGCCCCTTGATAGATAAATGGATAAAAAAGGGATATATATAGATATATATTATTATACATAATATACACATGCATATACATACAATGGGATACTATTTAACCATAAAAAATGAAAATACTGCCATTTGTAACAACATGAATGAACCTAAAGGATATTATGCTAATTGAAATAAACCAGACACAGAAGAACAAATACTCCATGGTCTTACTTATGTATAGAATCTAAACAGCCAAACTCAGAGAAACATAGGGGAGCATGGTGGTTGCCAGGGGCTGGAGGAAAAGGGAAATGAGAGATGTTGCTCAGAAAACACAAAGTTTCAGTTCTACAGGATGAAAATTTCTGGAGATCTAATGTACAGCAGGGTGACTACAGTTAACAATATTCATCATATACTTGAAATTTGCTAAGAGAATAGATCTTAAGTGATCACACCACAAAAATATAAAAGAAGATAATTATGTGAGGTGATAGATGTGTTAATTAGCTTGATGTTGGCAACCATTTCACAGTATATAAATATTTCAAACATCCCCTGGTACACCTTATATATATAAAATTTTTATTTGTCAACTATACCTTAATAAAGCTGGCAATAAACAAACAAACAAAAGAACCAGGCTCAGCCTGAAAGGCCTAGCTTTGTGATTTATGATCTTGATAAAGGAACTCATCACTCCTGGCCCTCAGGATCTTTTACTGGTAAAGGAATTTTAACAATACATAACTCATGCCACCCTTGCAAAAATTGAAATGAGATAATAGGTGTCAGGGTTTCTCAGATTTGGCATTATTGACATTTAGGCCAGATAATCCTTCATTAGGGGCTGCCCTGCACATTGTGGAATGTTTAGCAGTGTCCCTAGCTCCTACCCATTAAAGTAACATTCTCCCCAGTTGGTATGAACAAAAATGACTCAAGACAATGCCAAATGTCGCCTGGTGGGGACGGGGAGGTTGTCCCTGATTGAGAACCACTGCTATATATGAAGGTATTTTGTAAAATCATAAAACATTGCCCAGTTGTTAATGATTATTTTTTTAATTAAAACTCATTCTTTATTTTCTTAATTTTTCAATTGCTGTTTATATTCAATATTATTTCGTATTAGTTTCAGGTGTACAGCATAATGGTTAGACAATCATTTACTTACCAAGTATTCCCCCTGATATTTCCAGTACCAAACTAGTGCCATACATAGTCAATACAATACTATTAATTATAGGATTATCCTATGCTTTATTTACATCCCCATGACTATTTTGTAAGTCTTCAATCTCTTTGCCTTTTATACCCAGTCCACCAATGAAAATATGGAACACTTTACTAATTTGCATGGTATCCCTGCCCAGGCCATGCTAATCTTCTGGGTATTGTTCCAATTTTAGTATACATGCTGCCGAAGCAAGCACCAGTTGCTGATTATTACTAACATGCAATGATTTTAAAGTAACCACTTACAAATTTTTAAGTATATTTTATTGATTTTGCTATTGCAGTTGTCCCATTCTTTTTTTCTCCCCTTTATCCTCCTCCACCCAGTACCCCCATTCCCTCCAGCATTCCTCCCCTTAGTTCATGTCCATGGGATGTACATATAAATTCTCTGGCTTTTCCATTTCCTATACTATTCTTAACCTCCACCTGTCTATTTTGTGCCTACTAATTATGCCTCTTATTCCCTGTTCCTTTTCCCCCATTGTTTCCCCTCCCACTCCCCTCTGATCACCATTTCTGACTCTGTTCCTATTCTAGTTGTTTGCTTAGTTTTTGTTTTTGTTTTTTTAGGTTCAGTTGTTGGGAGTTGGGAGTTTGTTGTCATTTCACTGCTCATCATCTTGATCTTCTTTTTCTTATATAAGTCCCTTAACAATTCATATAAGGGCTTGGTGATGATGATGTCCTTTAACTTGACATTATCTGGGAAGCACTTTCTCTGCCCTTCCATTCTAAATGATAGTTTTGCTGGATAGAGTGATCTCAGATGTAGGTCCTTACCTTTCATGACTTTGAATAGTTCTTTCCAGTCCCTTCTTGCCTGCAAGGTTTCTTTTGAGAAATCAGCTGATAGTCTTATGGGAACTCATTCGTAGTTAACTCTCTTCTTTTCTCTTGCTGCTTTTAAGATTCTCTCCTTATCTTTAATCCTGGGTGATTTAATTATAATATGTCTTGGCATGCTCCTCTTTGAGTCCAACTTTTTTGGGACTCTCTGAGCCTCCTGGACTTGTATGTCTATTTCTTTCTCAGATTGGGGAAGTTTTCCTTCATTATTTTTTCAAATAAGTTTTCCATTTCTCGCTTTTCCTCTTCTCCTTCAAGCACCCCTATGATTTGGATATTGGAATGTTTAAAGCTGCCCTGGAAGTTCCTAAGCCTCTCCTCATTTTTTTGAATTCTCGTTTCTTCATTCTGTTCTGGGCAAATTTTTTTTTCTTCCTTTTATTCAAAATCATTGATCTGAGTTCCAGTCTCTTTCTCTTCACTGATGATTTCCTGTATATTTTGCTTTAATTCACTTTGCATAGCCTTCACTTCCTTTATTTTGCAGCTGTATTCAATCATTTCTGTGATCATCCTGATTACCAGTGTTTTGAACTAAGCATCTGATACATTGGCTATCTCCTCATCGCTTAGTTCTTTATCTGGAGTTTTGATCTGTTCTTTCATTTAGGCTATATTTCTTTGTCTCAGTACACCTATTATGTTGTAAGGGGCAGAGCCTTAGGTATTTGCCAGAGCAGGGCAATGCACTTCGATGTTGCATTGTGGTGCTGTATGTGGGGGAGGTGTCTGAGAGGGAACAGTGCTGGTTGCTCAGCTCTTGCTCTGTTTTCAAGAAACTGGCAATTTCTCCTGCTGCCACAACCCCCACAAGTTTATAAATCCAGAGGTCCTGAGGCCTTATCTTGCTCATGCTGGAAACCTGGGTTGGGTGGTCTGTCTCACTCCCCAGTTGTTCTCAGTTTATCAGCACGCAAATGTGGGACCACCTTGTCTGCCAGCCGCAGCCTTGCCACATGTCCTCTCCACCCTGGCTGCCTGTCTCCACCTCTCCTACCATTCTGGATAAATGTTTCTTTTTTAACTTCTTGGTTGTCAGACTTCCATACCGTTTGATTTTCTGGCAGTTCTGGTTGTTTTTGTCTTTAAATTGATTGTTTCCTTCTTTTGTTTTTGCAAGGAGGTGAAGTATATCTACTTACACCTTCATCTTGGCCAGAACCCACTTCCAAATATTGACTGGTTATGTTAATATATACAAAAGAGCAGTGGCACTGAAAATGTAAAAGCCACCAAGCTTCTCTATGGAAATGTACAATGGTTGTTGTGTGACAGGCTGAAGTCCTGGTTGTTTTATGTTTCTAACAAAGTTTGAGCACACAACAACTCTATTTAGAGAAAGCAGCCAAGTGGTCCCCAAGCATATGAGAAACAGGAGAGAGCCAGTGACCAAATGCACAAGGCTCTTCCCATCTTTGACTATGTAGTCACCGACTGTGTCCCCTTCATGTACTGGGACAGTTTCTTCATCTTTGTATGCCCTGTATCTGTCTTAGTCCATTTGCGCTGATGTAACACAGAATGGGTTGCTTAAAGAACAGGTATTTATTTCTCACAGTCTGGAGGCTAGAAGTCCAAGACCAAGGTGCCAGCAGATTGGGTGTCTGATGAGAGTATACTTCCTGGTTCATAGATGACCATGTTTTTGCTGTGTCCTCACATGGTGGAAAGAATGAAGGAGCTCTCTGGGGTCTTGTTTATAAGGCTGACAATGCCGTTCATGATGGCTCCACCCTCATGACCTAATCACCTCTCAAAGGCCCCACTTTCAAACACCATCACATTGGGGGTTAGGATTTCAACATATGGATTTGGGATTGGGGGTTGGGCACAAACATTCAATCCATAACAATATCTGACAATACCTGACAGATTAAATCTATTTAATAAATTATAAATTTGCATCAAACAGTAGTTCTCAGCCTTGCTGGCATAGCGGAATTACCTGGACTACTTGAAACATATTTACTGATACATGAGCCCTACCACCCCCCACCCCAAGATTCTGGTGGGGGACATGTCCTGGACATTTTAAGCTCCACTGATAAGACCTAATGTGGTCTATTATGTGAGGACTACTTGCATAGAAAGAATATAATACAGGTATTGCTCTGCTGCACAGAGGAACATAATCCAACAAAGGCTGGTTTCTGCCTGGGAAGCTGCTTTTCACTTGTCCTGTGTTCAAGCTGTCAATGGTTCTTTCTAACCTGTCCTATCTCATCTCATCAGCTTTTGGCAGGTACAGTCTCCAGCGCACACTTCCTTCTTCCTCTGTTTAAAATTCTCCTAAATGCATTTCTGGCTCCTTTGCCTTCTCTCAAGAGTCAGAGGCCACTCAGCCTCACATCAAATGTACTTCCTGGAGAAGTTCCAGAACCTCCATATAAAGATTTGTGATAAAGAGGAAAACGGAAGGCCAGTATGATAACCATGAGGGTGATGGAAAGCAGTCTCATTGCAGGGTCTTGTAAAAGGTTAAATTATCAATTAATTCCCAAATGTTGGCTGTAGTTAATAGTTATTCTTCTGGAGAACAGCACTTTCGGAATTTGTCATATCAGCAAAAGGGGATTCAGGCCTTAAAGAACATTCTCACATCCTTCAAAGCATATCAATGATTAGCTCTCTCCTCTACCAGTGTGGAGAGCTCTCTCTAACTCTCTTGGAGGTGGTGGGTGGAGTAGAAGAAAGTAAAAATTTCCAGAAGGAAAAACAGAAGAAAAGAAAGGGTTTGACTCCATGGCTTTAATTTTGCTGGGATGCCACATGCAGGACCAAGCAAAGGCCTCAGACTGCAGTTGGCCGGAGTGCTTGTATCTTGTGCTACTGCACCTTTCAGGAGCATGCACACAGGCTGGCTCTGTGATATTTAAGATGCTAATTTTATGCATGCTTCTTTTCCTGTTGATTTTTGGTGGCATTAAGGAACCCAGAGATGAGTAACTATCCACTATGCCCTTAAAGAAAAAGTTGAAAGAAAAACTAAGATCTTCCTAGTGTCTTATATGCTACTCTGCAGACAGGGGACACTTAATATTTATGCTCCTCATTTAGTGAAAGTTCTCAGCACAGATAAGTTATTAACTGAGGTTTTCAAAACTTCAGATTACTTAACATTGGGTGATAATTAACCTGAATGGAGGCATTCACTTATACTTTTTACATATGTAAAATTATCAAATCAAGAACAGAATCAAATTATGTCAAAGTTATTTCTCAATTGCTTGGGGAAGATTACTTTTCATCCCTCACACTTTCATGAATATGTTGTTGGTTTTAGTCAAGTTTGAGAAGAGCAGGCATGTGTGAGCGGGTTTGTAAAAATTTTACCCAGCATGGAGATCTTTGTTTAAACCATTGGCAAGATAGCAATCAGACACCACATTCTTGGTGAAAAGCCTCTTTTCCAGAGAGCGTGCACTCAAGAAGAAAATAAAACTTGAATTGCTATTCATAAAGCAGAATTTGAGAGACAGATGGAAGGAGAAGGTTCCATGGGAAAGGAAAGAGGGAAAGAAAGGGAAGGAATGACTTGCCAAAGTAAAGCTGGCTGTGGCTTAGAGTTCTTTCAGAAATGCCAGGAACCTTGGGAGTCAAACATTTTGCCCTGGGAGGAGACGCAGGGCAAAATGACAGTTCAATAACTGGAAATGCACTTCTCCAAGGCAGAGCCCACTTGGAAAGCATTAAAAGAGTGAGCTAAAGGCCTTCTCTCCTTTAGTGAATCGATTATGAGATCAGTGAGGAGTGCATAAAAATCTTAGGTAGCAGGATTCTGAATTCAGGTTTTGTGAACCTATAGAAGGTTCATGAATGAGTTCTACAGGGGACCTGTGAAAGTCCCCAAATTTAGGCTACAACTGAATTCAGAGTTCAGAAGAAGGGTTCTATGCCAGATTGGTCATACTTAGAAGACATTTTCACATTACAACCATTGTTCTGGGTAGACATTTTATTCTTCACTGAAGCACTATTTAGTTGACCACAGCAAGTACTTTTTTGAGATATCCAATCTTTCTTCATGTTTTAAAGTACCTGATAAATGTTACAATATAGGTGGTTAAGTAACATGTCTGTAAATGTCTTTTTGTTAAAATCCATTAAAAATATTGCCTTTTGGAAATGGAACGGGCAAACAGCCACCTTAGAGGGGCACGTTGCATCATGCCCTGGTTTGAGGGAAGATGGATGAGAAGGACGTGCAAAGGGCACTATGCCAATGTGTCCATGGTGAGGCAAGACTAACCACTGTCCCATAGGCCTGCATTTTGTTTTTCTTTGCTGTGCATATAGTGTATATCATGGACAAACGAGGTCTAATTTTACAGTACCTAGTCTTTCTAGA